CTGGCCTCTTTCCTGGCTCAGCCAATCCTTGAAGAACTTCCTGATGATCTCCCTGATCTCGCCAAAGTGAGCGCTGTCGGGAAATAAGTTCCTGGCCCCCACTCTCCATCTTCCCGGCGAACAGAGGTACCCCCAAGGCCTTGTTTCGTCTCGCACTGGCTTGGGCCCGAAGTGATTGGCCCAAGTCACCCGCGACCATGCGCCGCATGACAATGATCACGCCCCGGCGCTTGCCCTCATCCGTGAGGTCGTGGTCCGGGTTCCTGAGAATGTCCCACTCCTCCAAGAGCACCTTGTAGCCCGCCTTTGAAGCCATCCTTTCCCCGCCGCTGAAGAGGTACAGCACGTTGAAGGTGCGCCCCGGCCCCTCTTGCCCAGCCGGAGCCACCTGTGGTCCTCAGTGCTGGGTCTCGTCCTTCCCCCCTTCGTTGGGGTTGGGACGACACAAAGTCTGTGGGTGAGACCCCAAGCACTTGCTGCAACAGCGCACGCGGCTGCATGGGCCCCGACACCTCTCCTGCGGGTTGTTGAACTTGTAGCAGATCTGCCTGCCGTTGGGTGTGGTGCTGTGCCATGCCCCTTCCTGGGCGTTGCCCCCCTTTGACTTGCCGCTGGACCCCTTTCCTTTGGGTTTTCCCTTGTTCCGTCCTTTGGAACGGTCTGCTCGGGGCTCGCGCTCCCTGCCCCGACTTCTTCTACGGCTCCTTGACCTGCTCTTGGTGGCCACCCAACTGTTGCATGCCAGTGGAGTGGTCAGGAAGCGCTCCTTCACCAGGGTGTCCACCATGGCCTCCTCCAGAGAGTCCACCCAGCTGTGCCCTTTGTTGACCTTCTTGATGGCGGCCTTGCGGACCTGGTACTCGTAAGACAGCAGCTCGAAAGAGGGCTGCGCCATGCTGCGGCCCTTGTCGTCCTTGGCCCGGAGACCGAAGACGTGCTCCCCCAGAAGGTGGTTGGCGTAGCGGCTGAAAATGTTGGGCGTGATCCGCTGAAATGCCGTAGCGAAATGCGCACATCAGGATGGCGTTGGCCACGAGATCCAACCTCACCCGCAGCTCCTCCGGTGCGTGTTTTGCACGGGCCCATCGTCCCGTGCTGTGGTCAATGACCGCCCCGACCGGTGCCACATCCGCGTCCTCCCTGCTGACGAACTCGGTGAGGTGCATGAAACGCCACTTGCCCTGCTCGATCTGATCGAACAGGTTCTCGAGGGTTCTGGGCGCCGGTGTGACCCTGTCCTCCATTTTCTGGTAAGTGTCCGCGTACCTGGCGCTGCATGCTCTGTCCATGAAACCACCTTGGGCATGCTGGACACGGTAGCCTCCGCCTCGACCTTGTTGCGCGTGTCCACCCGCACCTTCGCCACTTCCCATGCGTCAACCACCGCCGCAATGTTCACATCTCCGCCGACTGCAGCTGGGTCAATGTTGAGTGTCCTCTGGCAGAAGTCCCGGATGCCGCCCCGATCGTCCGCCAGCGCCGCGAATCGGCCGACCGTCTTTACCCTTGCCGCTGCCAGCGCCACCTGCACATGCGGTGGCATCTCCTTGATGTCCAGCAGGCCACCGAAGTGCACCGCCGCACCAGCCATGACCCTCTCCCTTTTCCGGCTCTGGCCGAAAGGTAGCAGCATCCATGCTGGTACCCACTGATCCCCAAGTTCCGGGCCTTGTCAACTCCAATCAAGAACCGCCCTTGCGTGCAGCCTTCTGACGCTGCATGCTTCTGGCCCTCCGACCTGACCTCCCTGACGCATGACCGCTTGCAAGATCCCTCATGCGCCTGCCAGTGAGATTGAACCTCAACCTCACTCCTCCAGCCCCGCGCCTGTCCTTTTACGGCCGACCCCTTTGGTTTGGGTGGTGCTGAAAACGGGTGAAACGAGGCTAGTCTAGGGAGTCCGTGGAAGCCGAAATCGAGGATGACACCTCGCTGTCGCCCTCGACACCTCGGGGGAAGCACTCCTTGCACACCCGGTGGTACGTGCCCTCTGGAGGTAGGTCCTTGCCCAGCCCTCGAACCGCTTGTAGTGCACCCCCGGGCACGATGACACTCTCCCCCACGGTGGAGTGTCCTCCTCTGCGATCTTCCCACCAGGCTCACGAAGTACCTGCTCTTGTAACCCTCCGGCGTCCGATCGGGCTCACTGGCGGTCTCGTCCTTCTCGTCGCCGTCTTCCACCTCGACCACCTCCAACCCAAGGATACTAGCGAAGATGCCTCCCTGGAAGCTGGTTAGCCTCAGCTACTGGTCCTCCACATCGTTGGAGCCACCAGCTTCTCCACGACCTTCTCCATGATGGACTCCTCATCCAGCTTGTCCTGTGCTTTCTCCACGTTGCCCCTGACATAGGCCTTGTCCGTGGAAGGCTGCCATCTGCCCAGCTGCTTGGGCATGTAGTTGTCGACCCCCAGCAAAGCCGCCCAAGACCTCAAGGTCGCTCTTTCGGAATGCTCTGACCAAACAGTGCCCGCGCCCTGGCAGAGCAGAACCTTTCCGG